ACGACGCTCTTCCGATCTCCCCAAAACCCCAAAACCCCTTGCAATAAAATATATCGATGACTGTTAATATTTGAATTGTATAAATACAAATTAAGAAAAATATGATGCAAGCGGAATCATTCAGAGCAAGAATAAGTAATCCACAGAGGTAAAATTTCCTGATGAATTCAAGATCTTCTCACACCTCATCTGTATCATCAACCTTTTCCGGCTCTTTTCCTTCTGGGCCCATAATAGCGAATAATCAAGATCATCTAAATATGATGAAACTCTACAATAATCAATTGCAAAATAATTTCACAGAATCAACATGCTCGGGCAGTGGAAGTTTATTAAGTTCTAATCATGGTCCAGTCAAGCCTTTAAATAGTAGCTACCTTAAAAATTAGAATTCTTTAGGTTCAGCTGCAAGTGGAGGAGTAAAGAACTAATCTACTCTCCCTTAAAGATCAAGTTCCTCTAGCCTTAAATAAGACAATAATAAGAATCAAACATTAAAGAAAAATTCCTCACAAGTATCTCTTACTAATAATAACCAATCACACTAAGCATAAAATAATCTAGGTATTGAAAATTACTTCAACGCGAAGAGTCAAATGCAATAGTCATATGATCTTGTGAAAGAAATTCCATCAATGAGAAGCTTTGCATGTTCAGTAAATGAAGATTCCAGCAAGGAGATTGAGAAGCATATGAGAGGAAAACTAAAGATAGATCAAGCAATGAATAGAGATAGGATATTTATGCCTTAAGATAGCAAGGGCTTAGTTATGCTATATGGAGGTGGTAAAGAAGAAAGAAGAAGACAGAACAGTAAAGATAGCTTTGAAAGAAGTTTAGAAGGAGAAGATACTTGGAATGAAAACAGAGATAACTCCAATCATTTTAAAAGAAGATCATTTAGCATGTAAACTAACAAGTTAAATTAGAGCAAAAATTAAAGATAGGTGTCAAAGGACAAGTCAAAGCAGCTAAGTACCTCAATATTTGGAGGAATGGGTTAGGATAGGTAAAAGGTATATGAAATATCATCATATAAGAGAGATGCAGCATTGTTGTTAGCTAATAGAATGCATAAAAAGCTTAGAGGCTATTTTGCTATCTTGACAGATTTCGCAGCATTTTAAGAAGTAAATTCATCTTGTGTTAATGAAATATTAGGAGGTCTAAGCACTAGCAAACTACAATTCAAAGTTCAATATTAATGAGGCATTTGAGGACTTCAAGAATAAACAGGACTAGAAAAGCAGGCAAAGTCTTGAGATGAGAAAGGAATCTCAAAAACTCACTCAAAGCTAAGGTGTTTACTCTCATAATCAGTCTAAGTCCAGGTAGTGGGCCAAGATGACACACGGAGATAATTTCCTAAAAGATATCAATGACAACATATTCCTATCTCAAGATAAAATGTCCTCTACTTATCAAGGTGGAGTAACATCCAATGTTAAAATCAAGATTTAGAATAATAGTAAGGATCATACTCCTGTTAACATCTTTTAAACATACTTGAAATAAAACAATAATGTGGTGTCTCCAATTCCAATGGAAGCGTAGTAGCATGATTTCTACGATTTAGACACAGTAGATGATCTCTTTGATTTCAAGAATCAAATTTCTTCAAGATAAGGCAGAGATAACATTCCTCAAGTTGAGATCATTGGCAACATCAAGAATTCATTCAAGAATAAAGTTGAAAATTTGAAATCTGATTTTAATAATCTCCTCAATCATAAGAATTAAAAGGAGAGTCTTATGTCTTAGGATGGAAATTAGCTTATAATGAGTTAAAGAAATTACTAAGAAAATAAGGAAAATGATTTTAATCTTAGTAACAACAATAAAGATCTTCAAAATAGTTAGTGCTTGACATCAAGAAAGCCAACTACATTCAGAAAGGATTAAATTTAGATCACTTAGAGAGGGGGTAATGGATCTATTCTTAAGCCATCTATCTTGAATCAAAGGAAAAATCTTAAAATATTACAACAATCAAGAGAAGATAATACAAATAGTAGGATGTTGACTGATAATTAGAGGTAATCAGCTCAAAGAATAGCTGGATTCTTGATTCATTCAGATCTCAAGAAAAGTTTCTAATAAATTAAGGATGCAACTAATATGAATCAAATGCAAGAGCTCTCGAAAATACATGAAAAATTATGGGGTTTAATACAGTATAAGGAGTTAAAGCATAAATTTATGATGTTCTTTAATTGGAAGCAGCACACTTAGAACTAAGAAATGCAAGAGTCATTGCACATCAGTCACATAAGTGGTCCTTAGAACAATTAAAATACTAAGTTGTTCAATAAAGATTCAGCACTGTTCAATACTTAATTATTTGATGAAGATTAGCAGAGATAAATATCTTCTAGAACCAGCAATCACAATAATGGGAATAAGCAACAATAGAAAATGCTAATCGCTCAGAAAATACTAGGAGCCATTATGATTAAGCGAAGTTATATGATAAAAACTGCTCTCAAAACTTGGAAGCAGCAATCAGAGTAAAAATAGATTATAGATGAAGAGGCATCCTATAAGTAAGATCTGTTAAGACAAGTGATAAGTCAAATGATCTAGTGCAAAATGATTAAAGGCTTTAGAACTTGGAAAGATGCAGCTATAATTATCAAAGAGTAGGAGAAATATAATAAAGTGAAAGGCTCCTAGTAAATTATGAATAGAATGAAGACATATATATTCAAAAGCTTATTTAAATCTTTCTTGAAATGGAAGACTATGAAATCTGATACCAATGAATAAAAAGGTAAATAGATACCTGATCAACTGAAATTAAAGCTTTCAAGTCTGATTAAAAAGAAGCATATAACCGGTTTGAGGTAGAGTTTCAATGCTTTAAGTAGCAAATAAACAACTCTCCATCAGTCATAACATCCTTAGCAAGATCTAGACTATAAAACAGAAATGACTTCTTTCTAAAAGAAAGTGTCTCAAACACAGATGAATATAAATCGTCAGGGATCAAAGGGAAGTATTTCTGCTAATTTGAGATATCTATGATTATTATTCATTAATTAAAATAAGTTATTTGCTTGAATAAATCTGTGTCGGGCCAGCGGGGTTTTGGGGTTTTGGGGTTTTGGGGTTTTGGGG